TACATTTTATTTTCAAGTTCTCACTATTATTGAAAGAGAAAACATATTTGCAATCAACTTATATTTCTTACAGTTGATTTAGATTTTTATTTTACATAAAGATCCGCGGTCTAATTGTTACGCTTTAATACAAATTTTCTTTTGCAATTAATCCTCGTCGAACACTTCTAATTGGCAGGTGTCCTTTTGTATTGTTAGGACAGTAGTTGTGCAATTTAAAATTTTCGACAAAATGATGCATGTTGAAATTGTTATAACGAAGTAGAAAAGTGATCAGTGTTTATTTTATTCTAAGATAGTTTTGGGAGGAAACTGGTGACAGGTTTCTTCTCGAAAATGATGACTTTAAAGGTCTCCGAAATCATTGGACAAATTTTTCTCGAGGTTACGTCTAGCATAGATATCAAGATTGAAGCTCCCTCTTTACAACCACACTTAAAAAGTCGACGTACGATTTTTTAAAACTGTTTTATGGAATCAAATTGGAGAGCAGGTTCGATCAGGTAAAAATCTCACGTTGGATCTTACTGAAAAGTTGGTGGTACTCTTGTCAAAAAGCTCACGACCAAAATAAATCTCATTTCAAAATTTGAAAAACCATTGTAAACGAGAGGCTTCGATCTTCAAATTTATGCTACCTTCAGTCACGAAAAAAATATTCCAGTGTCCTAATTTTAATTTTTCAAAAATGAGAAATTTAATGTTCGAATATGTGCTTATTGCGTTCGAATATTCCATGGTTTTTTATCTCTTATTTCGTCAAAAAGGATATAACAATTTTGTTGCACGGTGTCCAGGCGAGTTCGAAAAGGCGGAAATTGGGACAAAAATTTGTATTCCCAGCGAAGAACCGCGGGTTCGAATCGGGGAAAAAGCGAAGAGTCCGTCGGGGCTCTTGACCGGAATTTTTATTTTATTTGCGCCCTACACATCTGTGTTTGCTATAAAAGCATGAAGCCCTCGATTCAATGATCGTACACTTGACCCAGTGGCATCCATTCCCCGACAATTCTAATATTCTTCCCCGACGATGGCACGCCAGCATGGCGCTGTGAGTGTGTGACAGATATAAAGCGTCGAACGTCAAAGCATAATTGAATTTCCATTCGGAATCGAGAAGTGGCCGGACCTTGACCGAATAGATTTGATTCGTTAAATTAAAGTTCGACGAGCAGCGAAAGCTTTTCGGGCCGGCTTATTTCTCACGATCGGCGGACCACGTTTTTCTGCCAAGGCTAATTTATTTCGCTGGGAGACGTCGTCGCTGGAAATTGAGGTCGTCCAGAAGCAATTTCTCAGGATCAATACGCGTCTTATATTTAATACTCCCATCCGAGCTGTCAAAAATGCACGTGTCGCACATCGCTCCATAAATAATTCTTCCTCTCCGTGTATAGCCCGTCTCGCAATGCTCTAACATTCTTCTGTGCGTCCCGCCGAGCTCAAAAATTCGACGAAAATCTTCGACGTCGAGTTCTCCGAAATCAATCCTGAAGTATCTTCATCGACGGTTCCTTTACATCGATCGCGATATATTTCGACGATCCTCTGTAAATTGGTCTCAAAATTCAACACAATAATAACAGTAATAAAATAATAATGGAAAGATAATAATAATTTGATACAAAATGTTTGCAAATCAAAATTTAGAAATATTTCTTCTAACAATAATTGTATTTCAACAACTGAGTACGCAATGATTTTTGAAATGATTTTTCTCAACAATTTTCTCACGATTCATTTGGAAATACGTATTACTATCGATAATATTCTTAAAGTCGACATCTAATATCTTTCCGAGCATTACTTTGAAATTAAAATGAACGATAAGCTGAGCGTAGTTTGACGCAATAAGTAAATGGTTCCAGTATAGATTTTTATCAAAGAGTGACACACAATTATGTACACAGAATAATGAATATTTTGAAACAATATTCATGGGAACGTGCTAGCTTTAATATTCCACTGAAACTTCGTCCCCTAAAATTGTGTTGAATTATTCATACAAATATATTGTTCAAAGAACAATATATGTAGATGTAGAAGAAGAATTTTTTTTCTACATAATTCATATTTATTCTCAACTTCTATTGTGATATTCTGTTCATTCTGAAATATAGATTCATGATTGTAGAATTATTATATCTATATCTTTAATATAAAAATATGGAATCTACTATTATTAGAAAGATCTGCTATTCGCAATACTAAAAATATGCCAATCGTACAGAAAAATAAATACGAAAACAGCTACGAACGTGGTGATCGCTATGTCATTTTCTCTTAAAGAGTAGTAATTGCATAAAAAATGCAATTGAACACAATTTAAACGCGATAAATTATTTACAAAACTTCCTTCTACGTCGGAAATGAAATTCTTCTCACTTCCATTTCCATAAAGTTCTATAAATTCGGTAACTCGCATCCGCAGTTCAGCAACCGTTTCCTGCGGCAGCTGAAAATGCCGGCGGTTCAGGTGATAAATAACAATGGCTTCGTTCTTCGACGTGTTTAACGGAATCCGCCGTGCGCGATGTTCACGGTGAGGATGCCGCGACGGCGGGTCGACGCGAATTTAAAAAACTAAGGTCGTTAGCGGAAAGAACGAAGAGCGAAATGTAAAAGCCACGGTGGAAGACAGAGGCAAGTTGGTTCCCGGGATATCTAATTCCGCCGCTGTACACAGAAGTTCGGCCCTCGAAACGTCGGGAATACGTAAAATACTCTTCGGTTCTACCCGGAGCTTTAGTCGGGCCGGGCCGGGCCGGGCCGAGGGTAACCCGTTTTACTGTCGCGAAAGTTCTTATGATAATCGCGGTTGAAACTTTTTTGGAGTCGTCCCGCTCGAGCTCGCCGCGATCTGCTCCGAATGCTTCTTCCGCCTCGACGTCGATGCTCCCGTGCGGAAACGACTTTCGAATTTCAATTCGCCAGACTCTCTTGTCTCTCTTGTCAACCCAAACCGCCGAGTTACTATGCCCCGTGTGTGTGTACAGCGACTGACGAATATGTTAATGTTCGCGGTAACCGTTCGAAAATCGATTCTTCAAGCTCGGCAATCGTGTTGCGCGCGGAAAGTGTTCTTCTCTCTCTCTCTCTCTCTCTCTCTCTCTCTCTCTCTTCTTATATGTAAACTATAATTTGCATACAGTGGTGCGAATAATTATAGACTCGAAGTAAATTTTATGTTTTTTTTTTCATGGTAGTTAAACAAAAACTTAACAAAAATATTTGTATATTTCTGTATTAGAAATAGTAGAAAATAGAAATATACAAATGTAGCGTTTTCTTTGGATTTTCTTTAAGTATCGATAAAAATGTTTAAAAAAAGTTACTTTCACTTCATAATTATTCACAGTATTGTAACTGGTCTGCTTTAGTTGAGACACCCTGTATATTTAAAAAAAGAATTTAATAATATACCATGTTTGTATATTTCCATGTTACAAATAATAGACAGTAAAAATATACAAATAAATATACAAATAATAAAATATATAATATATATATGTAATATTTATATATAATATTATAATATTTGTATATTATTGTATATATATATATATATATAATAAAACAATAATATACAAATGCTAGAGAATACATTAAAAAGAAATGCTGAAATGACATGTCTATGATATGTTATAAGAGGAAATGGATAAGTCGAACACAGAACAATAAAAAGATTGCAAGCATTTCGAAATATGTTGTTGCCGTTTTCGATCCGTTAAAGCTATTGCAAGAGGAGACACATTCTTATTGAATTTCTATTTCTTACGACTCGTGCAGAAGATTCTCAATTTGTGTTTATAAAGGCTCGCACACAGTTTACTTGTGACTAAAGTATAAAGGAAAACAACGAAGAGAAAAAAGATAAAGCAATTCTACGTATAATAAAATTCTTTTATAAATAAACCTTTTATTAATAAACCGATACTTTTTATAAATAAACCGTTGCACAATCCCGGTATTCTCAGAAGTACTAATTAAAATGGAAAGGGCGAACGATACAGTAACGCATGCAAACAAAACAAATTGTATATGTTTTAGAAACATACGAAACAATAAAAAAATAATTTTCAAATATTGGATACATTAAAAGTTGCACGAGATTGCAAATGTAAAAGGGAAAGGTGATAAAAGGCAAGCGTTCTCACGAATAACAAAATAATGACATTTTTACATAAATAAACCGTTAGATAGTTCTCGAATACTCGAAAAAATATGATTGAAAAAATATTAAACGCACAGCTTATACAAATGGAATGAAGCTACGTGAAATTTTTATCAAATTTAATTAGGATTTAATTAGAATTTAATTAAGATCGAATCCTAATTCGAATTACGAGTTCTTAGGAACTGAAACTGTCTGACGTGTGTGGTTGCTTTATAAGAATAACAAGACTGAATTTATTGGGAGCATTGGTCATTTCTATCACAAGAAAATCAGATAAAACTCGGACAAGAAACTTTAAAAAAAACATCAACATTTAAAGATGTTGTTATCGTTTGAACCATTTGCAATCTAAAAAAAAGAAAAACATTCTTGTTTACTCGTTCTCTAGCAAACTATTCGGACTAACATCCCCAGACAAGTTCGAGCGATTTGAACCAATTCGAAAATGTTTCAGCAATTTTTAAATGTTTCTACCATTTCGACCGGCACAGTAGATTTAGTGTTGGAAAGAAGAGTTTCCCCGAAGTTGAGAAACGAACGTTTCGCGTGCGCTTCGAAGCGGCAAGTATTCCGTGGCAAGGGAGTATTTGTCCATGAACGTTTCAGGAATTCAGCGTTCTATATTTGTAGGGCATTGAAAATGAAATAGGTGGCCAGGCAGAGCGTATCCACGGTTAATCAATAAATTTTGAGCGTCTATATCTGAACTTTTTGATCAGCAGCGTACATTCGATTCTTCCGAAGTTCCGCATCAATTATTTATCCGTGCTCACCCCCGGCCGGATTCCAGCGACTGATCGGTGCTCTCTGCTTTCTGTTCCAGATCTCCCCCATCACCACCTTCTGCAAGGTGAGTAGCTACTTGTCTATCGATATATTGGATATCGAATCATCTACTTTCCAGCGCAGCAAACAATGCTCTCTTCCTCTCCGCCCCGCTCCGTTCTGCACCGACTCCGTTCACTCGTGTTCCTTTTGCGTGTCACGTGCAGGATGTATGTGCCAGAGAACAATACAAATATTCAGCAAGATACGAGGAAGGTCCGTCTAAAAAAAGGGGGGGGGGGGAGACAGCGATCGCGAACGTCAACGAAAGACCCGTTTCGTTCGCGGCGCATTCATTCGTTGTACGGTAATTGCAACTAAAAATTGAATGCAGAGGATCCGGCACATAAGCTTCTCGTAGTTACAGAGAACAATCGGCAGCTCGTTCGAAAACGATCGATTATCGTGATTAGTTTTATCCGTGTCATCTTCGCTTATTTAAATCGGTTCGAAATGTTCGTGTAATTTGAAGACAACGTTGGAATATTTTTAGTCTTTTAATATTTTTCTCTCTCGATTCTATGACGCATTTTACGATCACTACGAAGACAGTGATTTTTAAGCAAATAATCTGAGAATAAACTGAATATACGATGAGGCGAGAACATTGCATGATTAGAATGAACGATCAGTGTCTCATTCTAAAATAAATCATTTTTGTGACTATTACTATTTATTTAATTTTTGTTTTTCGTATTTTAGTAATTTAATTTAACATTCGTATTTTAGTAATTTAATTTAACATTTGTATTTTAGTAATTTAATTTAACATTCGTATTTTAGTAATTTAATTTAACATTTGTATTTTAGTAATTTAATTTAACATTTGTATTTTAGTAATTTAATTTAACATTTGTATTTTAGTAATTTAATTTAACATTTGTATTTTAGTAATTTAATTTAACATTTGTATTTTAGTAATTTAATTTAACATTTGTATTTTAGTAATTTAATTTAACATTTGTATTTTAGTAATTTAATTTAACATTTGTATTTTAGTAATTTAATTTAACATTTGTATTTTAGTAATTTAATTTAACATTTGTATTTTAGTAATTTAATTTAACATTTGTATTTTAGTAATTTAATTTAACATTTGTATTTTAGTAATTTAATTTAACATTTGTATTTTAGTAATTTAATTTAACATTTGTATTTTAGTAATTTAATTTAACATTTGTATTTTAGTAATTTAATTTAACATTTGTATTTTAGTAATTTAATTTAACATTTGTATTTTAGTAATTTAATTTAACATTTGTATTTTAGTAATTTAATTTAACATTTGTATTTTAGTAATTTAATTTAAAATTCGTATTTTATATATATATATAGTAATTTAATTTAGAGTTTGTATTTTAGTAATTTAATTTAGGATTCGTATTTTAGTAATTTAAAAAAAAAACTGTTTGATCGTAAGGGCAACATCTATAAATGTATTTTGGACAAAATGTTTAAATTTAATTTGAACTTGATGTTTGAATATAATTTCTACAAAATGAATGAATATATAATTTGAACTTAATGCTGAATATATTTGGGGCAACCTGTAC